GATACTGGATCTCTAATTTCCTTTTTTTGTGATGTCTTTGTCAGATTTTGGTGTCCAGGTAATAATACCTTCATAAAATGAGATGGGAAGTGTTCCCTTCTCTTCTATTTCTTGGAAGAGTTTGTGAAGAATTGTTATTAATTTTTCTTTAAATGTTTTGTAGAATTCATCAGTGAAGCCATCTGGGCCTAGGCATTTCTTTGTGGGAGAGTAGTTTTTTGATTACTAATTAAATGTCTTCACTTGTTATAGATCTATTTAGATGTTTTTATTTCTTCCTGAGTTAGTTTAGTAGCTTGTGTCTTTGTAGGAGTTTGTCTATTTGATCTAGGTTATTTACTAGTATACTCATAAAAATATTCATAGTATTACTTTATAATCCTCTTTATTTCTGTAAAGTTGGTAGTAGTGTCCCTTTTCATTTCTGATTCTAATAATTTGAGTCTTCTTTTTTCTTGGTTCGTGCAGCTAAAGGCTTGTCATTTTTATTGATTTTTTTTTTTTTTTTCAAAGAACCAGCTTTGGGTTTCTTTTATTTTTTCTGTAATTTTTGTATTCTCTATTTCTTTAACTTCTACCCTAACCTTTATTATTTCCTTCCTTGTTTTCCTAAAGTGTGACTCCAGCCAGGCCCCGATTAGAATAGTCCTCAACCTCAAGGGCTGGCCTCTTCATCTCTTCACTCACTGGCATAACTGCCCCCTCAGTCAGCAGGAGTCAAATTGAATATCAAACATACAGCATGTGTAGATGTATATTCATGTTTACATTGTATTGATGTAAAGGCCCAGGGCAGGAATCCGCTTAGCATGTTTTAAAAACACCCGGAAGGCTTTATTAATGATGTCTGGGGCCTACGCTTAGTTATCAGCTCATCCCTCCCTTATTTGTGTGACTTGACCCTTATGTGACACATCATTGCTCCTCAGCCTTAGTTTCCTCATCTGTAAAATGAGAACAGTGCTGCATATATTGCTGTAAGGATTAAATGTGATAATGTAAAGAGAACACTTGGCACATAGTAAAAACTTAATTTGTTAATGCAAGTAACAGGCATCGAGTGCCTACTCATTCCAGGGACTGTTCTAGAAGTGGCGAAATAACAGGAAATAAAATAAAATCCCTGTCCTAACGGAGCTCACATTTTAGTAGGAAAGATTGACAATAAACAGTTTCAAAAACTACATGTGTGTGTGTGCACGTGCATGCACACATGTAAGTTCAGGTTGTGATACGTGCTGTGAAGAATAAAGCAAGAGAAGGTTTTAGAGTAATTTGATAGTTGGTGCTTCTGTAGTTGCGGTTGGTCAGGAAAGGCCTCGCTGAGGCAATGACTTTGCATACAGACCTAAATGAAATTAGAAAATGACACACGATAGTCAAGAAATATTTTTTTAACGTGAATCCATTTAAAGATCTGGTAGAAAAGCATCCCAGGAAGAGGCAGGAACAATTACAAAGGCCCTGTGGCAGGAAAAAATGCAGCCTGTTTCAAAAGCACCAAGACGTCTCTGTGAATGTGTGTGCTATTGTGATTAGTGATAATGTGTACTTGATATCTGCAACTTACTTTAAAATACATTTTTAAAAATTAGATGGGTGGATAGATAGATATGCCATAAAGCTAGTGTAGTGAAATGTTAATAGTAGAATTTAGGTAGTGGGTATATGCATGTTCAGCTTTACTTTGTTGGAAAAATGTCGTAATTTGAAGTTGGAGAAGAAACATCAAGATGGCTAGTGAGACTGGCGCAGACTGACAGGGAGATGAGGCTGCAGAGGTCTCTGGAGCCCAGAGCATGGAGGGCCTCAGGAACTGTGAGAAGACGTTTGCGTTTTGTTCTAAGCACAATGGGAAGCATTTCCAGGGATTGAACAAGAGAGTTTCATGATCTGGTTTGTGATTTTAAAAGATTCCCCTGGCTACTGTGGGTAGAAATGGCTCCCCAAGTAAGAATGAAAGCAAGGAGGCCAGGTGTAGGGACAACAGGGCAATGGAGGTGGTGAGACTGGTCATACTCAGGGGACAGCTTGAAGCGGGTGCTAATGGATTAGATGTGGGATGCTCAAGAGCAACGGCAAGGCTTTGGCTGAGCCAGTAAGCAAGGTGGTTCTATATCCTAACGGGGAAGATGAGGGAATTCAGTTAAGTCTGGGGAGGGGTGTGTGGGAGGGTGGTACAGGGGAGAATCACATATTCTATTTGAGGTATGATAAACCCAAATAATGAATTTCTTAATAACTGGTAGCTATTCTTAGTCTTCCTACCACACGCACTTATATAAGGACATCTGCAAACACAAGTGTTCACTCTCAGCTGTGGCTCAGCCTGCTCCTCCAATTTTCTTCTTTCTCTTAAATTTTCCATTCCTCATTCCTCCTCCGCCTCCCCACCCCTACCCCCGAGCACGAGACTACCCCCAGTGACTGCGGGGGCTCTGGAGATGGGAAAGACAGGAACTAGAAACTGAAGGCGGCCTCTCCACGCTCCTCCAAGCTTGAGCAAACCTCTGCTCAGGTCGGCCTCTTTATCAGTTGAATCAGCTCAGAGGAAGCCGCTGGGGTGACAGTCAAGAGAGCAGCAGCCAGCTGGGTCGAGCTCCCGGTCTTGCAAACCCTCTGGCCTTTTTGTTCTCTGTAGCTAGGCTGGCAGGCAGTGCTAGTAGGTGGCTGGGCGGCAGAGTCCAAGATACAGCAGAAAATGACAGAGGCCTCCCCTCTTTACTGAGAAGGTGACTGAGTCAAAATCTGAGCTATTTAACCCCTTTAGCTGTGTTGTTATTTTGCATCAACTGTGATTTGGATAGCACTTAAGACATTTGTCAGCCAGCTGGGAAAAGCTGACTTAACTGTCTGACGCCTGCTCCCTGCAGAAGGCTGTCCCAGCCACTGAGGACTTTGTGTATCCAAAGATGACTGCATCTCCTGGGGACACAGACACAGTCATCCAGAGCCAGCTGCTTACAGAAAGAGCCCTAGCACACGTGCTGTAGCCCACGTGTATGGTGGGGACCACTGGGGGAGGTGAGCAAAGGGGTTTGCTCCCTCTGCTCTTTGATTTTCCATCCTGCCCTGACCCTTAAAACTTTGTCAGCTCTGGTAACAACAAGTAAGTCTCCCGTGAGTTAACTATATGCCCGAACTGTTGTAAGCACTTCGTGTATAGTGGCTCATTTTATCTCCATAACAACACTGTAAGGTACAGGTACTATTATTATTCATTCCTGTTCTACAGATGGGGAAACTGAGGCTTAGAAAGGAGAACTAAGTTGCCTAGGGGCGCACAGATACAAAGCAGCAAAGCCGGGTGTTCTGACCTTACCTCCACGATGGACTAGTAGAGGGCTGGATGAGCAGATACAGATAATCCACCAGGAATGGGGCACATAGGGAGGCCCATAGACACTCAGCATAGGGAAGGTGTCTGCAGGCTAGAGAGAGCAGAGGTTGCTATCGTTACTCTTTTATTCTATTATAATTTAATATACCTACATGTATTATTTGTATCATGTTAAAAATCTTTGTGCTTGTTTTAAAATGTAAATACATTAATACCCATACCCAGTTTTCTAGCAAGTATGGGCACTTCTTAGGATATAACTATAACACAGGTTAAATCAATCATAGACATAGCTTTTCCTGCTCCATATACAGTCTCTTCCCCAAACATCATTAGCTGTATGGTCTTTGGCAAACCACTTAAACTCTCTGCAGCTTAGATTTCTTTTCTGGACCTACCCCATAGGCTAAATCCATTAGTAATTATAATCATAATCATGAAAGCCATTGACAGCCGAATACCTAATGTATGTGTGTACTATGTTGTTTTCTTGCATTATCTTTTAATCCTCCTAACAACCCTTACAGATAAGGCAGCTGAGGTGTACAGAGGTTGCATAACTTGCCTGAGCCGGGCAGTAGCAGTGGTTCAAGGGCAACAGCCATATCCTCGTTGTTTAACCAAGGCAAGGCCTGTCACTGACCAGAGAAGAGTAAATGTTTGATGGGTAAATATGTGTGTGCAAGAAGATATGCTGAGCTGCAGCCCCAGTAAGAATTCTTCCTCCCCCAACATTAAGCCCATAGATAACTGCATTAGCCAGCTCCGGCTGCCTTAACAGAATACCCCAGACCGCATGGCTTAAACAACAGAAATTTATTTCTTCAGTCTGGAGGCTGTAGAAGTTCAAGATGAAGATGCCATCAGGGTTGGTTTCTGAGAAGCCTCTCCTCCTGACTTATAGACAGCTGCCTTCTCTCTGTCCTCCATGGCCTTCCCTTTGTGTGCATGGAGGGAGAGATAGAGATGTCTGGTGCCTGTTCCCCTTCTTAGAGAAACACCAGTTCTATTGGATGAGGGCCCTACCCTCTTGATCTCATTTAACCTTAGCTCCTTCCCGATGGCTCCATCTCCAAATACCAGCACTTTGGGGATTAGGGCTTCAACATATGGTTTCGGGGGAGGGGGGGGGGCCGGTACAGTTCAGTCCATAATGTGAGCTGTGAGGAACCCTTAAAGAGTTTTGGGAACTCTTAAAAATGTGTACAACATTTTGCCTAAATGGGAGTCCACGTATATCATCCATTTAACTTCCCAAAAGGTAAGAATCATTAAAAGTATTGTAAGAGCACAGAGAGGGAAATGATTCATGGAAAAATGGAAGCAGAATTTGAATGAAGGGGTGGGAAGAAAAGAAATAACTTAAAATAATGTTTTAATGAGTGTTTTTAAAATGGAGAACAAAAAGGGCAGAAGAAAATAAGGATACGCCGTGTCAGCCCCCCCACATTTCATTTTGAGATATTAGATGGCCCACCTGAGGTCATACGTGGAAGAGTGGACCTGAGCCTAGAACCCCGGTATCCTGACACCAGCCCAGGCTGTTTTCACGGGCGTGCTGTCTGTGCTGCCCCGTAGGACCCAAGGCCACCTGGGCAAGGTTTTGGGGCTGCCCTTATGCTGACCTTGTGAATGCCCTTCCTTCTTCTTTTCCTTCCAGAAGTGGAACAGATTGAGGCCATCGCCAAGTTTGACTACGTGGGGCGGTCCCCACGTGAGCTGTCCTTCAAGAAGGGGGCCTCACTGCTATTATACCACCGTGCCTCAGAGGACTGGTGGGAGGGCCGTCACAACGGCGTGGATGGACTGATCCCACATCAGTACATAGTCGTACAGGACATGTGAGTGGGAGCCGGACCCTACTTTAAAGAGTGCCGTAATCGACTAGTGATGTCTAGAATGGGCACAGGAGGGGAGTGCTGGGTGGTATGCCAGAGACATGTTCTCTCTGATGTAATACCTTTGGTCTTCTATAAGCATGGATCCCCTTAAATGGTGATCCCTCTAACAAATAAACAAGTTGCTCCTGCTTCAGAGACAGTGTCTGATGCCCTTGGCCCCATCCTGATCTGCATGACAGCCCGCAGAACACTCATCACCCACCGTGGTTCTCAGCATCCAGTGGGTCTTGCCATATACCTTCACCTTCCTGTTCTACCCTGTAGCCAGTGGGCAGCCTACCACCCCCTTAACTGCCCCATTCACCACCCCTGAGGTACCACTCTCAGGGGATGGGTGGGAGCAATCATTCCCGCATTTTGAGTTACTAGGGTATTATTTTTTTATTGAGGAAAAATTGACATATAACACTATACTAATTCCAGGTATATAACATAATAATTTGATATTCTTATATATTGCAAAACGATCCCCACAATGAGTCTAGTTACTATCCATCACCACACATAGTTACAATTTTTTTCATACATGACAAGAACTTTTAAGATCTACTCTTGTAACAACTTTCAAATATACAGTGCAGTATTATTACCTATAGTCACCATGCTATACATTACATCCACAGGACTTATTTATTTTATAACTGAACGTTTGTACCTTTTGACCCCCTTTACCCATTTCACCACCTTCCAATCCCCCATTACTGGCAACCACCTATCTCTTCTCTGTATCTATGGGTATTATTTTCTTTTAAACAATATCAGACATTTTAAAAAGTCCCGTATCCCAAATACTAACCCTACCAGAAGGCCCAGAAAGTCTATGCCTTTCATTGTTTGAGAGCCATTGAGGGTACCTCTGAGATCTATCTAGTCAGGCTCGGGTGGAACGAACTGATCAAGGAAGCAGCCACCAGCTAGACTTAAAGGGCAGGGGGCCAAAGGCATAAGTTTTGATGGCAGAGGGGGTGGTCTGCGAAAATTCCAGGAATAGGCAAACCCCATGAGGAATGCCCCATAGTGGGGGGCTCTTGGTACTCTGATGTCCCCCAGCCTCTGTGGACAGGGACAAGGTACTGGAAGGGAGAGGGGAGTGGGAGGAGGCTGGCAGGGAACTCCAACAAGCTCAAGCCACCTCACAGTTGTTCCAGGCCTTGGGTGAGGAGGGAAGGGTTGGCAGCACCTTCTTCCTCCCTTGCTTAGCCCTAAACCACTTCTCATGGAGCCATGTGGAGGCTTGTCCCTCGCTTTGCAGGGCCCTCCCCCTGCATTTCTCCAGTACACCCTCTAGCGTTCAGCTTTTCCTCGCCCTGAGGAGCCTGGGAGAGATGAAGAACCTAGAGGAGGGGAGAGGAGAAGGTAGGCACGGGGTGATGGGACAGAGCAGGAAGTTCTGCTGGAGAAACTGACTTAGGAGTATGGCAGTGGGCACACATGGTGGCGAGACGGGTGGGAAGGGGCTCACTGCGAGCTGTGGGCAGAAATTAACCATGAGGTGTATGTTGATCCAGCCTCTCAGACAGGTCTTGCGGAGCCCTGCACATCCTGGGTGCTCTGGAGCACTCCCAATTCACAGCTGTCCTTCTCCCCAGGGATGATGCCTTCTCCGACAGCCTGAGCCAAAAGGCGGACAGTGAGGCCAGCAGTGGGCCGCTGCTGGACGACAAGGCCTCCTCCAAAAACGACCTCCAGTCCCCCACGGAGCACATCTCGGATTACGGCTTTGGGGGGGTGATGGGCCGGTAGGAAACACGGATTCATTTTTTTTCTGCTAAGTGCCAGGCTTGTTGGTATCTGATTTGGGAGAAACAAGAGGGCAGAAGGGAGAAAAGTAAACTGCTGTGACTACTTGTTTCCCACAGGAGGTACTGGGCACGCAATGTAAGAATACCAAGTGTAAAACAATCCAGCTAAGCGGGAAGGGGACGGTGGAGGAGGAGGAGGAAAGACGTATATTGACACATCAGTGCTTTTTATTTAAAATAATAATAAGTGAGGGAGAGAGGGATACAAATTGGCAAGTATTTTTCCAACATCTCTCTAATTCTTGCACCTCCTCCACTTTCTGTTGAAGACCCAAGTAGTTATTTTTAAAAATTTAAAGCTCATATACTCCCTGAAGTGTGCTACAAAAACAGAAAACTCACACCCCCTCAAGTGTGGGGAACATTGACAGTCGGCTCCACCGACTTATCTGATGGGAACACAGTTGCCAATTTCTTCACTCCTCCTGTGTGGGCCAGGCTGTGTCACATGACCTTTCTGCCAAGACAAGAGGTATGCTCCTTAGTCTGCACACAGTTCTGGTCCAAAGTATGTGGTTGTTTGTTTGTGTTTTTTTTTTTAAGATTTTATTTATTTATTTTTAGAGAGGGGAAGGGAGGGAGAAAAAGAGGGAGAGAGACATCAATGTGTGGTTGCCTCACGTGCACCCCATACTGGGGACCTGGCCCACAACCCAAGCATGTGCCCTGACTGGGAACCGAACCAGCAACCCTTTGGTTTGCAGGCCAGCGCTCAGTCCACTGAGCCACACCAGTCAGGGCAGGTATGTGGTTGTTTAAAAAAAAAAAAAATAATGAAAATAGAAGAAAAGATTTTTAGAAAGCTGACAGCTTCTCACTGCTTTCTTAATCAGATTCTCTTTATTTTTTTCATGGGGAGGTCATGGGATCAACCCATACATATGGCCGCTTGCAAATAGAACCAAAAAATAGGTCAAAATGGGAACATACATTTAGGAATTTATTTCAGAAGTCCCAGTGCGTCCTTTCAGCATACTCTATTCAGTTAAACAAATAGTTTAGGTCACTGTGACAGATGATAGAACTGCGAGGGAAAGAGGAAAGCAGGGTAGGTAGATGCAAAGTCATGGTCCCTTGACTCCTAGGGAGGAGGTATCTTCTCCTGACTCGATTCTCCTCTCCCTCTTTCCTCCCTCACCTACTTTCTTCTTGTTCTTCCTTCCTCAATACCTCTTTCTCTCCAACACCTCTGCTTTGGTCCTGTTGGGGTACCCACAGGCCCTGCTTGGCTTGGCTGGTAGCATTAAGATCTAAAGCGCTGCTGACCACATTGAACTTGGTCCCCTGGTCACAACCCATTCCAACACTCTGTCCCTCCTCCCCACCCCCTCGGTACTGCAGCCTGCCTTCCCCTCAGCAGTGTCTTAGAATCTTTAGTGACCTCCATAGGATGCAGCACAACCTCGGGGGGCTGGAACCTTTTATCTTCAAAGTGCTTCCACACTCACTGAACTTCCCTCAAAGGTGGGCAAGGGATATTATGCCCATTTAATAAATGGGTCTCCAAGAGGCCACAGAAAAGCCTATGACTGACAGGATAAGGACTCACCATCCTAATAGACAGTTTAGACCCCTTTTCACTCCACCAGAGCCTCCCTGAGGAGTTAAAAGTGTCCAAATGCATGGAAGGCATGTTGAGTGATGCACTTTTTCCTTTTTAATGACTCGTTTTCCAAGATCTGGAAACCGTCCTAGATGTAGCCCTTTGCTGGGGAGATTGGGGTGGGTAACAATATCGGACTGTGTTGTTTCCAGGGCAGCCCTCCTGTGCTTACAGGGAGCTGGTAACTGTTGGTACAGTCAAGCCTCAGTGCTTCAGACCAATTGGAAGCCCTTCAGCATCATGGCAATGTCTGAACTGCTTTAAAACATATCACGAACCCAACTAACCCTCACCAAAGCGTTCCCAGGTTGAAATCCTCCTGGCATTGACCTAAGAGGTTGCCAAGATTCGTTGTGTAATTAGCTCTGATTTCCTGTGTGCAGATTAAGCCTGCCCCCTACCGGGGAGGTTCGTGCTCAGCCGGTGCTTTCATTTTGGAATCTCCGAGTCTGGCTGCAGGAGGCTTTACTATACCTCTCCGTAGACTAGCGTGTAGTTCTTGGCCCGGGGGTTGACTGACCCATTCTGATTGCCAGGGTTGACTCTGCCCCATGCCCCCGCCCCCTGGCTCCTTTGCAGAGTGCGGTTACGATCTGATGGAGCGGCCATCCCCAGGCGCCGAAGCGGGGGCGACACACACAGCCCACCCCGGGGCCTGGGCCCCAGCATAGACACGCCGCCCCGGGCCGCCGCCTGCCCCAGCAGCCCCCACAAAATCCCCCTCACCCGGGGCAGGATCGAGAGCCCCGAGAAGCGGAGGATGGCGACGTTCGGGAGCGCCGGCAGCATCAACTACCCTGACAAGAAGGCGCTCTCCGAAGGGCACTCGATGAGGTCGACGTGCGGCTCCACCAGGCACAGCAGCCTGGGGGACCACAAGTCCCTGGAGGCCGAGGCCCTGGCAGAAGTAAGGGTCAGCGGGAAGGCAGACTGGGCCGACGGAGACCCCCAGAGGGGCCGCAGGGTGGGGACTTGTGGACTGGGGAGCCACTTTGCTCTTTATGCCAGGCTCAAGGCTAAGTCAGAACATAGGAAAGATAATGTGAACTGGCTTCCCGTCTGCATGCTGGCCTCCCCGTGGGAGTGGAAGCTGGATGGGCGCAGCTATTGGCTGGGGATCCTGTAAAGACTGAAGACCACCCCCCTCGCCCCCCCAGTTTCCAGGGTCGGAGGGGGAACTCCGTCTAAGGGAATGGGCGGATGATGGGGGATGTAGTAGTGACAGGTGTCTCCACAAGATGGCATAACTGAGTTATGCATGCATGCATGCATCCACCCATCCATCCATCCATTCATTTCATTAATTGACAAATAACCATTGAACATCTGTTGTGTGACAGTTACTGTGCTAGGCACTGGGAGTACAGTGATGACCTAAAATGGACCCAGGCCCTGCCCTCGTGGAACTTAGAGAAGAGAGACATCAACCATTAACACAGCTGTGAAATGGCAGTTGAGTCAGGTGCTTTGAAAGAGTGGTACATGGTATTTTGACAACCTAGAATGTGGGGATTGCTCCTCGAGGAGAGAGACTTCCAGGAGGGGAAGAAGATATGACCTGAGATACAAAGGACAGGTGGAGCAAATAGCTGAAGCTGGAAGGGAAGAATGTTCCAGGGCTTCCAAAGTGCTGAGAGATGTCTTTTTTCTTAAGTTTTTAAAAATTTGGATGAGAAGCCTGTGTGATTTCTTTTATACCTACCAAACAAATTTGTTAAACACATTTTAAAGAAACAGTTTGTGTTTTTAATAACTTACACATCTGGTGTCATGTGGTTTTGACAATTCTATCATATTTCTGAAAGATTCTATTTTTTCTCTCTGGAATTAGGGCTGGGTGCCCATTATGTGCCCACGCCCCAGTGTCATCTCTCACTTAAGGTAAGAGGTACAGCCAGAACCTTCTTGGCTGTGAGAATTGTTCTTTAGCAGCATTTGGATCCCTGGTACAAGGGGAAGGGGGGAGTTGCGGCTTGGGCCCTGTGTTCCCGAGGAGGCCAGGAAAAGTTCCTGGGGAAAACCCAGTGCAGAGTCAACTCACCCAGCAGCTGGAACTCCTGTTCACATCCACACGGTCTAGTGTGGCCCCATGTCCTGACACCCATTCCCCAGGGAAACCTGAAGATCTGTACCTTGGCATGGTCCTGCGGAGGAGGACCTGCTGGTCCTTCCATTCTCGAAGGCCATCCTCTTGGGGAGCATCACCTAGCATCCATTGTCACCTGGATGCTCTACCAAGGGCCATGGTAGGGAGTGGGCTCCCTGAGGCCTGGCCTAGAGCCCTTTACATAAAGGATCAAATGCAGTCTAGGCCATTGTTTCTGAAAGTGGCTCCCACAGCAGACTAGTTCATAGGATGTTAATGGGGGCAAATGTTTTTTGTGATCAACAAAGTTTGGGGCATACTGATCTGGCAAAGTTGAATAGCTCGTCTACAAGACTTTTTAGAACTTTTAAGTTTGTTAATGTGCCTTGTGAATATCCAAGAAAGAGACAGGGCACATCCCACCACTCAGACTTCTTTGAGCTTTATTCACAGAGCATTTACGAGACCAGCCAAAAGAATACATTGGGGAATGTTGTATGCCTTTTTCTCTGTTCGCAAACATATCTACACACTCTCTAATTTGATAGCTGCCATTCAAGAGCTCCTTTCACGGGCAGAGGTGAAACAGGAGAGCATGGTAAATAATATGTAAGTAGCCCAAAGGGGATGCTGGACGGCCTGCAGCCTGCGCAGCACTGGTGCTGACTTTGCAGGCTGCAAAGAGGAGCCGTGGCAGGGAAGTGCCCAGTAGTTGATGGAGTTACCTGAAATTCTCTGGCCTCAAAGTGTCCGTAAGGCTATAGCTTTGAACCCAGTGAAGAGGCTGTTTGGGGGAATTGCCACACTGCCATCCAAAGTGGGAAGATGTAGTTTGGGAGGAGGGGAAAAGTGCTCACTTTCCCCGCGGCCTGCCATCGCCCAGCACCTCTCTTCAGCTGCACTCTGGAGATTGCAGCCTCACCTCTCAGACTAACGCCAGGCTCACGCCTAACGCCAGGCTCCTGCCTAAACTACTCAGCTGACTTTTCTCTGAGCTTTCTGTCTTTCTGGCTCACACTCTGCCAGGGTAGAGTGGTAGTGGTGGGAGGGATGGTGGTAGAGAGGCAATAATTGCATTTTACTTATTGAAGTTTTACCTTTCAGCTCACACTGGAGTAGAGCAAACAAAGAGTAGTGATGTAAATAGAGGAGTTAATTTAAACAAGAGTGGGGTGTCAAAAGCAGGCTTTAACATCGCAGGGCGGCGAGATAGCAAAGATGGGAAGAGGAAGCCATCTCTCCCATCATGCAGAAAATCTCCACAGCTAATCCTTTTGGATAAAGGCCCAAATGGCCCCTTCTTAAAGGAGCCAGTATTATGGGACAGAGGATAAAATGTCATGGGGAAGCATAAAAGCTAATATTAGCTTTATGTTAATATTAGTTAATTAGCCATTAGTTAATTATCAATAGCTTCTTAACAGAGCAAAAAGGATAGACTTGGACCTTGTCTGTGACTAGACTGCAGCCTGTCATGGCCCAGGACAGGAATTAAGCCACCAGCTAACGAGAGGAGAAGAGGAGCTGAAAGAGGAGGTGGGTGTGGAGAGGGCGGTCAGGACATCTCTAGGCTCCATCACCATCGGTCTGACCAGGCTTGTGGATTTTTTAGATTTGCCCCAGGGCAGAAGAGCAGCATGTCTTAATAGTCATCACTGTCACCGAGGCTGTGCACAGACCTTCCAAGAGTGCCCTCAATCGGGATACTGCTAGGGATACGAGCAGTATCCCTAGTTGTGCCCTCAAGGGCCATACCTGTGGGGCTCAGCCTTGCTCAGCCTGAGCAGCCCCTCTTGCATGTTTGATGTGGAGGTGTCCCTATAAAACCCTATGGAACCCAAGGACCCTGGCTGAAGGGACTTTAAAAACCACTGGCAGTTGCAAAGCTTCATCACATCCATGATCTCATTCCATCTTTACAGTAAACTGTGGGCTTTCAACGGATGAACAGAGAATGGTGCAACTGAGATTCGCAAGTGGCAGAGGAGTCTTCACTCAAAAGTCCCAGCCTTATATCCTAACCCAGGGCTCCCAGGTTAAATGCTGAGCTCCAGCTTCAGCGCCCCCTGTAGGCTGGAGGGGGAATGGAGGCCTCGGGGAGATGGAAAGATGAGCGCCAGCTGACTGAGCAGCCCCTCTGCTCACCAGGAGGTCCCAGGGCCATACTCTATGAGCCATTTAAAGAACTCTCATCCTGATTAGCTTAAATATTAAAACTTCCCCAGGAATTAAGTAGGCAGATAAGGATTTTTGTTGTTTTTTAAGTCTTCCATTTGTTTTGAAAGAGCACAATATTCTGATTGTGACACAGAGGAGAAAGTAACAGCCCCATCATTTTGGGGTGGACGTTCCAATATATAACCTCCAAGACATTTTTGTGTGGTCAAGGATTTTTAAAATAATAATAATAATGGTTAGTGGCATGGATTTTGGAGATAGGTTGCCTTGGTTGAGACTTGGACTGTGCTACTAACTAGCTGTGTGACCTTGAGCAAGTTACTGAACCAGTCTGAGCTTCCATTTCCTCATGTGTACAATGAACTTAGTGGTAGTTCCTACTTAATAATTGTGAGTATTGAATGAATTGCTCACGGAAAGGGCTTGGCTTGGTGCTCAGTGTTAGCACTTCCTGCCATTGTGATTGTCATGATTTGTGGGCGCTTATTGTGTGCCAAGTGTCTTGCCAAGCTCTTCACAGGGACCATATCATTTAATACACTCATCGAGCCCCTGAGGTCTGTATGATAATGATCTGTCATCTGAGGCTCAGAGAGATGAGGAAATTTGCACAAGTCATGTAGCAAGTGGGTGGTAGAGCCAGAATTTGAACCCATGTCTGGCTGACTCCAGAGCTTGCCTTCCTTAACCAGTGGTCTGACTTACCCTCATTAAGTCAGCTTCCTGATCAGGCAGTGTGCGGGCTACAACCACATGAATTCCCCAGTTGGAGACACCCTGGGGATGTCATCTCCATCCCAGCCATTGGGCCCCTGGGGCGACCTCCCTCAGAAGCCCACAGGCTGCCCAGGAGGGACTGGACCCCGGGCCTCCAGACTCTGTGCTGACCAGAACTTTCTCTGTCCCCAGGACATCGAGAAGACCATGAGCACGGCTCTGCACGAGCTGCGGGAACTCGAGAGGCAGAACACAGTCAAGCAGGCGCCAGATGTGGTGCTGGACACCCTGGAGCCCCTGAAGAACCCGCCAGGCCCCATCAGCTCAGAGCCCGCCAGCCCCCTGCACACCATCGTCATCCGTGACCCTGATGCCGCCATGCGCCGCAGCAGCAGCTCCTCCACTGAGATGATGACCACCTTCAAGCCAGCCCTGTCCGCCCGTCTGGCTGGAGCCCAGCTACGCCCACCCCCCATGAGGCCTGTGCGGCCGGTGGTCCAGCATCGGTCCAGCAGCAGCAGCAGCTCAGGTGTGGGCAGCCCGGCCGTGACGCCCACCGAGAAGATGTTCCCCAACAGCTCAGCAGACAAGTCAGGCACCATGTGACCAACAAGATCGGGTGGCACTGCCCTGGCTCACTGTGGCACACCATGGCCGAGGGTGGCCTCTGTGACTTCCGCATCCTTCCCAGTGCTCCTGGCCTTGTCCGGCAGAGACCAGAAGGTCAGCCTGAAAGAACGTCTATGCAGAGCTGAGACCCTGGCGCCAGCCGCAACCGGCATCCAGTCCTCGCGGGTGTAAGCAGAGGCCCAGAGGAGAGCAGGAGCAGGAGCAGCCCCAACTGGAGCGTTTCCTAAGATTGTGGCAAAATGTTAAATGGCTTCGCCTGCATAATCGTCACTGGAAAATTATTCTCTCGACATTCTCTCTGCATACATAAGTATATGTGTGTGTATATATGTGTGTACGTATATACACATATATATGTCTGTAGGTGTGTGTATATATATATATATTTATGCATCTATATACATATAGTAGATTTGGACACACATACTAAATGTATATAGAATCTCCTTTTTTCTTTTTATGAAACTTAGATTTACCTCAGACCCATGCCACCAAACATCTCCCGCTGTTATTTGGTGGGATTTGCAGGGACTTTTCTGGGAGAATTTAGAGGCCCACAGTAACTGCGAATGAAGCAATATACCACTAACCTGCAGAAAAACAAAAACAGTCTCCCATTGTCTCCAGAAGTCGTGGCCTTCCAAAACAGTCTGCCCCTAAATGAAGGGTGGGGCAGGCAGTACCCCGAACAGGCTGCTCCTAGAGGTGGGGAACCCCTCACAGAACCCCCCTGTCCAGCCCAGAGACCCTGCCTTTCCACCTGAAGGCCAAGGGCCAACTATACCCCTGAAGGCACGGGAGGACTTTGGCAAGAAGACCTCCTGACCACAGCATCCTGGTGATTGTGTGTAGAAGAGGGGATAGTGAGAATCTAAGCCCCATGGTAGCACAGTATTATGTGTGGTTGGGAAAAAGGGAAAAATCAATAAAACCACAGTGGTATGGAACACTTCAAAACCTAGAAATGCTGTAGGAATAATTCTGGTAACTATAGAGTTTTAACTTATACAATTTTCAAAATATTTAATTTTTTCTTTTCCTCTTTCTACTAATTATACTGTGTCAGATTTGGAACTAAACAGGCAAAGAGGCTTTGAGTCAGTCACATCGTTTTAATTTAAAATCAGGCCATGACGCACTTTGGCTAGTGCCCTCTTGCACGAAGTGCATGAACCATAAGTGCCCAGCTCAGACCAGGGGCCGAGGAGGGGCGATCCTTGGCACTTTCTGTCCTAGACAATGCTTCAGTTGAGTTGATGCAAGTGAAATAGCTTCCCTCTCTCCCCCTTCCCTTCCCTTTCACCCACCTCCAGAGCATTTAACATAATTGAAAATATGGTGAAAGAATTGTGGTGTGTGATTGTTAAGTATGATCAGCAAGGTTTTCAACTCTTGGCTGGGAAAAGGCCTCTGGATCAGCCTCATTTGATTCTATTTTACTGCCTTTTCAGATCTCTTGGTTTTCCAGCAATGGCTGTTCCTGGATAATGGAACACAGGTGAATCAGATTCTAACGGGACCACTTTTATTCACCACCCTCATGCCAAGCCAAGGGTGTCCTCCCTATTGTTCTCAAGCTTCATCTCTCATTCACAAGGCCTTTGAATGTGTCCCTGGCTGTGGTTTAGAGTCAGAAGTCATGTGTTTGAGTCCCAGCCCCAGCCACTTGGGATCTGTGGGACTCTGGGCATGTCTCTGCACCTCATTGAGCCTCAGTTTCCTGCTCCATAAAATGAAGATAAGATAAAATGTGAGCAAGCTGTTTAAACTAGAAAGCACTGTGCCAACATGATTATTCTTTTTATTATCATTAGTAAGGTAAGGCTTTTAGCTCAAAACCCACCCAAGACCTTCCCTTTGAAACCCTCTAATAGAATTTGAGAAGTAGGCAGTAGAAATTCCCTACCAGCTTCATAAGACCCCCAAAGCATGGCCCTACAGATATATCACCAACTGATGCTTGAAATTCCATCATTACCATTCCACCCCATTGGCTGAATTTTGCCTTGTCCTCTAGTCCTCCATAAAAAGGTGTCTACACCCCAGAGGGAGGGACCTGTTGAGTCACTAGGACCTAGGTGTGTGGGAGTGGTAAGCCGTTCTGCCTCACCTGAGGATTGAGAGCACCCAGTGAGAGGAAGAATCAAGAAAGTGTGCAAAAAAGAGAATGTCAGGGAGAGGCCAATGACAAACTTGACCCTTCCTCATTTTGCCTGGAACCAACCCTTCTCTTCTAGCTCCTGGAAATGAAAGCACCTCAGAACCAGCTAAAAGCCCTCTGCCTTTGTGAGCAGTATGAAGATACCCCCATTTTTGCAGCTTAGGAAAGAAAGCAAGGCCTTGGGATATGCTGGGACTTGCCTAAGATTCAATAAATGTCTGAGAGTGGGGGCTGTGTCAGGCTTGTTAAGTCACTTATTTGCAAGGATGCTATGCTGTCCAGCAGGAGACAAGACATCCTATTTCTACCCCCCAGATATTCCCAGGCCTTAAATGTAAGTAGCCTCCTGAGCAAAATGTCACATTCTCTGCCAAGACTCCCGGATGAAAAGAGAAAATTTGAGTTGACAGATCTGTTGCCTGATATACATAACACAAGTTAGACCACGTGGCTTTTCCTCTGAATTGACTAACTTAATTTTCTTTCCTGAAAGTGGACCTGCCTTTTACTGAATTACCTAAAGGCAGAGCTGTAGCTGTTTTCTTTAAGCACCTGTTTTTCCATTGGGAAAAGGCTGATGAGTTCACATTTAGAGAAGCTCACACCTCACTCATGCAGCCCCAGATCTGAGCCTTGATGCAGAACCAAATGGAAAAATACTTTCCCGCCCCACCCCTGCTCCCTCAGCCGGCGCTCTGCACGTCTCAGCCCTCCCGCAGGCCCCAGGCCCTCCCACGGTCGCTGAGCATTGGCTCTCCTCCTGATTCCTGCCTGTGTTAGTCCACTATATATTGCTGTATTTGCTTAAATGCTGGAAAGTAACTGTTCAAATGTGAAATTGTAATATTTAAAAAGGTGACAATTAAATTATAGCCAATGCCACTCACCAAATCTTTGCACCTAGTAGATAGTTCAATGTAAACAAATACCAGAAACCTAACTGTACAGTGAGTGTGGGGGAAACGTAGTAACCTAGTTAGTAGTCCTCAATATAACCAATTGTACAAGGGGAAGTGGTGTTTACCTACTTGTTCATCACCATTACTGGAAGCTGTACTGATCAGTTTGTCGATAACGGGCTTTCTCTCTCTCTCTTTTTTTTTTTTTTTTGCTTCACAGAATTTCTTTTCATAACCTTCAACTTACTCTGAAGTCAAGCCTTTTGTCTTTATGTGTAACCAATGTTCAGTCTCTTTTAGGAATGAACCAGCAAGACGTTCATTTAAAACTGACCAAAGACAATTCCTTCCTGGTCTAGTTTCCTGGGCCTCAGGGCCCAGCCACCGCTAAAGACCTTCCTCAGATAAAATTGAGAACAAGCCGTGCTTCCTACTCCACTCTCCTTCTCTCCCTTTATTCCCTTTTCCTCTTAAAGAGCTGCTCTGAGCTGTGGGATTCTATGAAAAATTCTTGCCTTTCCTTGTTTTCAGTGCTAACGATTAATCACCTTGAAGCGCCTTTGAACCCGGACAGAGCGCACAATTGGGAGGGACTCGTAAGCTTGGGCATTATACTTGGGAGTCTGTCTTCTGAGGTCACCAGGCCAATGGGCAAGAGAGAAGTGGATTCCCAAGGGATAAACAGTTTCTATCACATGAAGAAATTCTAGTGGGAAGAGACACAGGGAAATGGAGCCATCTTTTGGCCACCAGCTGGAACCAGCAGTTCAGAGATCTGCCTTATAAACCCTACAGAACTGGTTTGTGGTACAGAGGGGGCCATTGTGGGGAAGGGCCTTGGCATGGGGCTGGCTTCTCTGTTAGAGGCCCTTAGAGTGCCTTGTTGCTTATATTTCTTTCTCATTCAGGAGGCACAAATGCAGAGGGCTTCCTGTGACCTGGTCGTTAACTCGGCACTCAGTGCCCGCACGGCTGATGGAAAACCACAAAGACTAATGTAATTGTTCTTCCTCTCAGTCTTTCTATTCCTAACTTTTCACACATCCAGATGGTTCCACACTAGAGCAAATGCCTCATTCTCCTGAGAAACCCAGAAAGAAGAATGGCTGGCTCACAACCATGGAAGGGGCCCTATTTGGCTTGAGGATGGCTTGGAGGAACAGGCAGGAAGGGGTGAACCGAGGTGTTGCTTAGCCGATTTTCTGCTATGCAGAGCTAATGCTGACGTTTCATGTCAACTTCCCCGGTTCTCTGGGGTCTCCTCTCTCCTGAGCAGCCATGTAGAGAATTCCCCCACATATCCAAAGCTGCCCAGGGGAGCTGAGAGAAGGGACTTAGCTGTCAGGTCCGAGTGCTCCTGGCCTCTCTGAGGTTAATCTGCCAGTGTCCTGCTGTCCCATCCTCTGGGACTGGCCAAATGGCCAACACTGCCCCTTGCTGACACCTCCTTTCTGTGTGAACTGTCCCAAGCAAATAACAAAGCTGTTTCTTGAACCAGAACAACCAGAGCGCACTTTGCCTTCCTTAGATGGGAGATTCTGCTAGAGCATCTGCTCAGGCTCTAGTTCCCGGCAGTGTGACTGTTTACATGGTTTGGCAATAGGTTTGGTTCTGATTGCTTCAGAGTGGCTGGTCTATTTTTGTTTCCTTTGGTTTCCTTCCTTCCCAAACTGTGTCAGGAAAACAAAACAAAACAAACAAAAAAAACAAAACCACCCTTGGAAATTGCTGGTTGCCTGTCCCCACGTGATGAAAAGTGCTGCCCTCTTCCGGATATCGTTTCTCTACCTTACAACCAAACGCCCGTCCTATAGAGTGTCTGATTGGATCCTCTGTCGCATATTCTGATGGTGCCTGCTGGTTTGATGTGGAGCTATCCTGTGAAATAAAACAGCTTAACTTTTCTCAAACATGTGCTTCAGTGGCTTTTTGAAAGGGTGAGGTGGCCCAACGTGGGTGGGGAGGTTCCAGGGGGTGCTCCTACCCTCCAGCCCACACTGTCTGTGTCCTTCTCCCAGGAACCGTGTCTGAAATGTCCTTTAGCTCAGACCCCACAAGGGGAAGGCCAAGGTTCGAAAGAGGACTCCTTCAACAGTGGAGCTCATTGAAGAAGCTAACTGTGGGGTGCCCCCTGGCAAGCAGGAGGAGTTACCTGCAGAGTGCCTTCCAAAGTTTAAGACAAAACACCAGAGGCCACAGGTTACCGATTTCCGGTGTGAGGGCAAATGAATCACTTTAGTGTTCATTGTCTACTCACGTGTGATACAACCCCTAGGACTTTTTTTTTCTTACCTACGTTTCTGTGTATGTGTGTGTGTGAAATGTTTATTGATTACTTATTTCCATCCGATGTATCAAATTAAGCCCTTTACATGGATTTTCTCATTGAATTCTCAAACAGCTATTGAAGGTATGTACCCTTCTTAAACCCCATTCTGTAGATGAGGAAACTGAGGTCTGAGAAGTTAAGTGGCTCACCCAAGGTTAGGCTAGGAAGTGAAAGAGCCAGAAATTGAACCCAGACTATCTGACTCCAAAGTTATGCTCTTTGCACGTTCACTGTACTGCCTGTCACTGAGCATGCTGATTACACTGGTATTGGTGGCAGGATCTCATGACTAAGGTAGCTTGCTTGCTGCCTGCTGAAGTCAAGGAAGACTCCAGGACTTTCGTTTTCTGATAAATCCTCTGGTGGATCTTTGTGCATAGGCTCCTTTGCAGAAGAGAATGAGATCTTCTGCCAGCATCAGGGAATCCGTTATTCCCACCATAACTACTTGACACTCAGTGGAGGCCTCTTGCTAATTCCAGGCTCTAATATGGTGCACCTGTCCCAATGCCGCTTCTTCTTTGGAAGACCTTACTCTCAATGCCCTTACTTGGTGCAAACCGAGTGGTTTTCTGTTTCTTGCAATCAAATAGAAAAAGGAAAAAATAGGAATAGCCAACGTGTTTCGCATGCTTACGATGTTCTAGGGACCCTTCTGAGCCCTTTCACATGTAAAAGCTAACTCACCAATCCTCTTGCCACCCTATAAAGTAGGTCTTCTCAGTTTATGTATGAGGAAATAGCACAGAGAGGTTAAGTAATGTGCCAAAGGACATGCTGCTAGGAAGTTGGAGCTGGGGTTTCCACTTAGACAGTCTCACAGTGGAGCCAGGTCTTTGCTATTCTCTCCCAGGCTTGAGAGCTGGGGAGGCCCCTGGGCATGATTTGGAGCAGAGAACAGGATGGAACTGTGAGCTTCACTAGGCTGGGTTTGTTTGACCCAAGACACCTCCCTCCGGGGGGGCTGTGTGGCAGGCACAGGACAGCTGAGGTGGGGATGTATGGTCTGCTGCTGTGTGCTGCTGTTCAGCCTCAAAAGAAGGAGCCAGGATGGATTCCGTGTTCTCCCAGGCCATCCTGCCCCTGACACAAGTGAGCATTTTATATGGGACAATTTCCTAGAGAAGCCTAGAGATGGCCCTGCTACTGTCGCCATGTGTGCGGGGGACCTGCCCCTGGAGAGGCCTTAGAAGAGCTGTCCCGGTGGAAGGTTGAGGAAAAGGATGGGGGCAGGGGATGAGGGGCCATGGGAGCTGGGGAGGGACAGGACGGGACAGGCAGCAGCAGTGACAGCTTTTCTTTTGGCACTGAGGAGAGGCTGTGTTTAAATAAAGGACTGTAAGTAGAGGCAGAGAAGGGGTGAGAGCTCCCCAGGCCTTTTCAGCCACCGCAGGAAGTCCAGGATTCAAGGAGTAAATGATAAAGGAAGGATGTCGTATGGAATCAGCACTGGGCGCACCTGCAACCTTCCGCAGATGCCCCAGGGGGCCTGGAATGAGATCTCTGAACCCCTCACTGTGGCCCACAAAACCCCCACCCCCTCGTCCATCTCACCCAGCTCATCTCCGCTCCCTCCTCATCAATTCTCCACCTGAGCCCCCCTCTCCTGGAACCCACTGAGGGCTCCCTACCTCAGGGCCTTGGTCCTCGCTCAGTCCTCTCCCTGCGAGGCTCTTCCCAACCTCTTCTTGTTGCCTCCTTCTCTCCCTTGCAGCGTCTGTTCAAATGTCATTGTCTTAGAGGGGCCTCCTCTGACCACCTTGTTTAGAGCTGCACCTTCCGCCAGTCGCCATTGGATTCATTTGTTTAACTCTCCTCATTGCATTTATCATTATTGGAATTTACTTTGTTCCTTTGTTTACTTATGCACTGTCTCTTTCCCAAACTAGAATGTAAGCTCCAGAAAGTTGGGGTTTCTGTCTATCTTGACCATACTATCTTCAGAGGGTATGGCGTTTCACATAGTAAGTGCTCCATGAGTATTTATGAACAAAACGAATATCCATCCACAACTGGGGGAAAATGCCATTTCTGAGTGAGAGGGGCTAAGTACTTAAAAATCACATCTTTGGCTGTCATTCATTCATTTAACAAATTCTTAAGCACCTACTGTGTGCCAAGCTTCACGTGAGCATTGGGGATGCAGCCATGAGCAAAGTGGATCAAGATCCCTGTGGAGTTTTATGGTTAAATTCTGGAGACCAAACAATGATAACAACAAAACAGGAAATACCAATGGGGTGGGAACAAAAGATATTGGGTCCTGCTTTGGACTAGGAGGTTGGGACAGCCCATCTAAGAAGTTTAAACTGGAAACAGAAGCCTGAGAAGGAGCCAACCATGTGAAGCTGTGAGGGGTAGGAGAAGGGACCAGGCGGGCAAGCATCGCGGGCTCTGGGGGGAGGAAGAGCTTGGTGTATGAGACTGAAGATGTCTGGTGGGGCTGGAGCTTGGGGGCGTGAGATGTGGAAACAGGCTGGCAAGGAGGAGGGCGTATGCAGCACCCTTTTAAGCCATAGTGAGAATTTATTCTAAGAGCAGTGAGAAGCCCTTGAAGGATTTTCATTAGGTCATTACTCAGTCCTGTTTATTGCTATTAAGGAATCATCTCTGGCTTCTAGAGTACAGCCACTTTTTAAGAATGGAGGGCTTCAGTGATGATTGAGGATTTAAATACTGTAAGAGCGGCTATGATGCGGTGTCATGAACCCTGGATTATAATGTACCTGCTTCTCTGTACCTGAGGTCTGACAAAGGAGATGGAGGAATTTTATTATTGTTGTTATTTATGGGCCTTGAGCACGCCCACCCTATCTTGTTTCTGGATTTCTAGCTCTGCTGTATCCACACATCCATACATCCTCCACGTCACCCGCCAAGGGGATTATTTCAATGTTTCCCAGTATGGAGACCAATGGCCCACACATGGAGCAGAACTGCAGGCCTTCTTCATAGGCAATTTGCAGAGTCCTGTCATCTATGGAACAAGAGTTTCCTTCCTCAAATGCCTACTCTTTTAACTGAACCCAGACCAGTTCTCATAGGTCTTCGATGCCCTGATAAATAGCTTGGCTCTTTCTGCTTTATGCCATGCTGTTGAGGATGCATCGTTAGGACTCAAAAACCAAACTCAGCCTGGCTAAAATGAAAGGCATGATTTTTGCCCCATCTGAATGAAAATAAAACAGAACTCAAAAAGGATGGTACAGCAGTTCCAACAATGTCAACAAGCTTCTCTCTCTCCCTCTCATCCTTTTTCAGCAGAAAAGCTATACAGTATTAACGATTATAAGCCCCATGAGGTTCAGAGAGGTAAAGTGACTTTTCCAAGATCATACAGTTGATAAGTGTGTAAATCTGAATGCACATAGAAGAGGTCAACTCACACAAGTGGCAGATCCCCACCCTCCCTCTCCTCCCATGTTAATTTCTTGGCTTCCAATACGCCCAGCCAAGGTCTCCATTCCAGAGATGTCAAACATAGAGACACCTCTGTCTGCACGGGCCCACAAAGACACGCTCCTGGTGATTGCCCCTTCTTGACCCCCAAATGGCTACAGGATGTCAGGGGTGGGGGTAAATTTGACTCTTTGTTTTCTATAGGCCCAGTTCAAGGCCCTTTAGGAAGTCGTATGCAAGGATGAGAGGAAATAAATGAATAAAGAATGAATGGGGCCCTGGCCAGGGGGTGACCTAGTTGGTTGGAGCACCTGTCCTGTGTCAGGGCACATACCTAGGTTGTGGGTTCCATCCCTGGTCCGGGTGCGTACCAGAGGCAACGGATTGATATATCTCTCTTACATCAATGTTTCTCTCTCTCTAAAAATCAATGGACATATCCTCAGGTGAGGACTTTAAAAAAAGAAGAAGAAGAAATGGGGCGATTGCTCTTTTGCTTTTTTTCTTCGGAGCTTGAGCCCACAGACAGCCAGATACTCTACTGTCCTCATGTGGCCATTTATAAAATGGCAGGTGGGATGAGTTATCTTCAATTTTTATTGCAAAAATTTCAAACTTACAGAACAATACAGAGAATAGTATAAAATTAACCCATTATTCTATCATCTATTTTTACCAATTATTTACATTTTCCAAAGTTTCATTATCTTTTTAAAATTTCAAATACATTCCTGACATCATGACATTTTACCCTGAAAAACATCAGCACACATCTCTAAAAATTATATTTTTCTACATGACAATCCCATTATCACAACTAATAGAATTAGTAATAATTTTTCAATATAATGTCATACCTAATTTATATTCAAATTTCATTGATTGTTCCCCAAAATGCCTGTAAAAGATTAGTTTGTTCAAATCAGGACCCAAACAAGGCTATAACAAGGTTATGTATTTTAAATCTTTTTTATGCTGGAACAGTGAGCTCCTAAGCTGTTGCAGCACTCTGGTTCATTTTCTGGTACGGTGCCCCAGGGTCTGCATTTGTCCGGTGGCTTCCTTGAGCTGTCAGCCCCTGGTTGCTGTCCTCCATGTATGTCTTATAAACTGAAGTTGGATCTAAGCATTTGATTAGATTCGGTGGCACCATTTTTGGCGAGAAGGTTCCCTAGATGATGGGTG